AAGTGTATAGGGACAGAAGCTTGTTTGCAGTTTCGTCCGCTACAATTGCTTGAAGCTGCAAAACCGGGGCGTAGGCGTCAGCAAGAGCTCCTAGTGCTACTCGTGCTTACCTGTTTCACGAGCCGAAATATGAGCTTGTCCAACGTAAACAAAACGTAGGATTGCGTTCCAATTATCGATCTGCACTCGTCTTCGTACTTGTTGTTGTCAGCAGACCCATCCAAAAGACTATACAACACCCGCACAAACCTGGAAATCATTCGTGACGATCAGCAAAAAAACAGCATAAGCAAGACACTTACTTTTCATACAAGTTTGGAGGATCGGTTTCTTTAACCAGCTTCCACTTCTGCTCGGCTGCGGCAGCGTTTGTCTTTGCGGACTGTATTCGCTCGTAGAAAGCCTGCAAAAGAATGATAAAAGAAACCAAGAAAATAGCTTGGCAAATAGATACCTGATGCAGTCTAAACAAGATGTAAAACATGTCGTTGCCATAGAACAGGCAGCTGTCCAGCGAATCCATGCAGCAAGTATAATGAGCCGCCAAAGGCTTGCAAAACATGGAGGATCTATCTGGAGCTTCCCCATCGTCTGCGTCAGCCATGCCTTCACCTTCAAAATCACTTTCAGCCTTCTCTTCATGGTCATCATCTCCCTCTTCGTCTTCATCCTCGTGATCTTCGTGCTCCTCGCGCGAAGCATCATCTGGATCGCCTGACTCGCTACCTGAGACCTCGCCAGCCTCCGATCCATTCTCGCTGTCTTCGCTTGACTTGTGAGCACTTTCGTCACCTTCGTCATCTGCTTCTGCATCCTGCTCGGCATCTCCTTCAGCTTCGTCATAATCAGCCCGCTTTGATACCAAGTCCTTTACAAGCCGGTCCTTCGACCCCTGCTCTCCTGTGAAGGTTTGCCTCGCATCCAAGTCTGGAGAAGGTGAAAGTTCACCTTCCTCCTTCTCGCCCCTCCTGTGGCGATCCTTCCTGGACTCTGGACCCTGCCGAGATTAAGTGTTAGTTACGTCAGACACAGCTAAATGAGCAACTTACATCTAGTCTTTGCGTGGTATGAGTTTCGGGCCCTGGAAGGAGAGAGCAGATAAGTCAAAGTAAAGAACAAAGGAAGAAAGTTACCGTCTATCGAAGCATCCTTCTTGGAAAAGCCGGTCTTCGAAAAGCCAAGGTGGTGGTCGGCCTTAGTGTTACTCTCTGTGACGTCCAGAATTCCCCGCTTCTTTTCACCGTGGACAGCTCTGCTGGATGCGCTGGTAAATTCATCAGCTTTCAGTGCCTGACTGGGGGCAGTGTCCGGGTTGCCACTACCAGTACTATCGCCGGAACTGGATCTCCGTTCCTTCGAAGGTTGGAGGGCAGCTTCTTCTGCATCTTCTGTACCACGGATCCTTGACGGCACGCCAAACATGGATTCCAGGAAACTTGTCCAAACACGCATGATCTTGTTGGATTGTTCCATCGAGCTGCATACCTCGTCAGCCGAGTATTTCATAATCTCAAAGAGATCGTTGTGAATGGATGGATCGGAGTATTCAAACTTCAAGTGCGGGGTTAAGAGCCTTCGGTTTCCCGTTAGTGTCGCAATAATAGAGTCGTCTTCCTTCCTCTTCCGCGCATGAACATCTTTGATCTCGCCAAAAAGCGCTGCATACACAATTACAGGATATATAGGGAATTCTACCACACAACTTTACAGGGTACCTTTTGCGCTTAAGCTCTTTCGATCCTGTTGCTTAAAGTAAAAGCTCCGGTGGTCAAGGGATTTATGATAGTTTTTGGAATAAACTTCGGCCCAGACTTTGTTCATATCAGAGCGGCACTTAGACCATTCCTCCTGCTTTTGCTTTAGTCGGCTGTGAACGACAGGCAGCACAACGGATGGACTTTTACGCATCAAATCAATGATATCGAGGCCATGGTCACCATAAATCCTTTCAATACAACGAAGATCGATAACTGGACGACAAAATAAAAAAATGGTCAGAACTTATTTCGTTAGAATAGAGCATTATTACCAGACAAGTGATCATCGATGCGAGTTTGAGATTCCATGCTGGCATCCTGAAGCTTTTCAACAATCTCTTCAACATGCTTTGCCGTGGCTACCGTTGATTCCAGCAACATATCCAGCTCAAACCTGGCACCTGCTAGTTAAAGAGTATGCACTATAAAAGTCTGAGTTTACCTGTCATCCTCACAGCGAAATAAGCTTTCTTCATACTGGTTTCTTCGCATATGTTTGAAAGAATAATCCTCGCTGCCAGATGTAACAGAGACCCAGCTATCATTGAGAACAGATTTCGCCAGCTCAGTACGGTGACTTGACAAGAGACGAGGATACTGTAAAGGTTAAGGAATGTCAAGTGTTAGCATCCACGACCACAAGTAACTTACATTCTTTGGGAGTAAACGATAGCTCGGAGTGCACCGCTCACAGCTTGATAGATCGAGTTCCGATATAGGCTTGGTCATGTATTTCTCCTTGTTGGCATGTAGGGACGACTTGTGATCTTTGGCTCGTTCCTTTTCACGGTCTCGGTCTCTCTCCCTGTCCCTGTCTCTATCCCTATCCTTCTCCTTTTCCCTTTCCTTGTCTTTGTCTTTCTCCCGCTCCTTTCCTCTATCATGATCCCTGTCTTTGTCTCTTTCGGGTTTGCTAGCCTTCAATTGGCCATCAGAGTCCATTTCTACGCGAAAGTGGTAAGAAAAAACACCACAAAAAAAAAAATGATAACATGCACTCACCGGCATTTGCGCATCGAATAACCAGTTCGTTGAAGCCGTCCAGTAGCTCCGGATACTTGCCCAAAATGTCCGAAACCTGGAGACTCGGGGGTCAGGACCAGAATGCAAACCGTCATTCAGATTCATACCAGTGACTGCAATTCCGCTCGGCTGATAATGTGCTCGTTATAAAGGTTGAGAACCTTGAGCAATCCTTGGTACGAGTCGCGATTACGGAGTTTTCCTTTCACCTTCTCAAAGAAAGCGTAATCTCTTTGCAAGCTTGCACCTGCGGAAACGAGGCAGTCAGAGGATGCAGAAACGAACCTCCAAGCCGCATGCATATATACGCCTAAAACCCATGCAACTTCCCTCGGACAGAACGCTTTTTGGCACTTTCCAATCCGCTAAAAAGACCAAAACTTACTTATGATGTCCTCCATGAAAGTAGAAGCAGTAGGCCAGAACAATCCATCCCCACCTTCTCCATTTTGAGACTGTTTGCGGATAAGTTCGTCTGCCCGACGTGCTGATTTGCGCTTGTGACGGGCTCCGTCCATGTCCGCCTCTCGATCATATTCTTCTCTCTCCTTTTCCTTGTCCCGCTCCTTTTCGGCTTTCCTGCGTTCTTTATCCGATCTTGCTGCACGATCTTGATCGCGATCCAGCAGCTTCTCTTTCTGCACAAGAATTTTCTTCTGCATGAGCCAAATAAGCTTTAACAAAGTACCTTAAACATCCTTTCAGATTGAGAAGGTTTCGCCGATGCTCCAGATTTCTCATCTTTACGAAGATGTGAGCTCGACTTTAAACTCGAGTTTGCAGATTCCGGAAGAAAGCAGGTGAATTCGTCAAGCAGATCAGGGTGATGGCCAAACAAGGAAGCAACCTGCACGTGTTGAAAATCTCGAATGTTTCAAGAATAAAAGAGGGAAAAAAAAACACAAACCTCTTGATAAACCTCAGTGATAGATTTAGATCCCTTTCGAAATTTGTTAAGAATCTCTAAAAACGCTTTGTACACTTGTTCGTTGTCTTGGAAACGATTCTGTGATCAAGCACAAAATGAACAAGAATTAAAACAAAAAGCCGCTGGAATAAAAAAAAAAAAAAGCAAAATGCAAAAACCTTGATTTTGTTGACAAAATTGATAGCCTGGTTGAACTCCACAGGCTGTTTTTTAGGAGCTTCCCTTGGCGATTCATCGAGAACGATTTCATAGCCTCTCGGCAAGAATGCATTGAAGCCAATAATCAGTTTGTTGTGGCCCTTGAAAAGCTCTTTCACTTTCCCAATGACCCCGTTAGTATCGATCCTGAAAAGCAACACCAACAAAAAAAAAAAGAAAAACCACAAGCAAAGAGAATTGAGCATTCCATTCCATATAATCTAATCTCACGTACCTCTGAGCTTTGAAGTCCTTCATAACTTCTAAAAACTCGGAGTACTTATCGTTATCGTCTTTGAATCTTTCCTTCACCGCTTTGAGGTATTGCAACGCATCGTCTGGTGTTAAACGAGGATGTTGATCCGAGCTGCGACCACCCAAACAAGAACATCGATCCAAGAAAAAAAAAAAGGAAGGAAGGAAAAAAGAAAAAGAAAAAGAAAAAACCAAAGAAGAACAGTAAGAAACTCACGGTTCTCCTCCTCCTGATGGGCGCTTGAGCTGCGGCCCCATGTTGCTCTCCTCTCGGGCACGCTTCATGCTGGATTGCTAGCGAGGAGGAGCAAATACCTGCGCTTGCGGAGCATGTTCTATGGGGCAGTTAGGGAGCGTGAGCTAGAGCGCAATGGTAGGAGAAAGAATTAATCCGCCGAGATTTGGAATGCATCCGGCCGATGGCGGCGACGCATCAAGCCCGGAAATCGATCAATCTGTGGGGGAAATGGGGGAAAGAAGCAAGGGAAAAGCGCAAGAAAAGGATCGGGGAAGCGAAGAATTGCGGCGGCGCCTCCGGAGCTGCGCGTCGCCACTGCTCCAGCGCCAGATCCAAGCCCCGGCCGGACCTAAATCCCAAGACGGACAAGAACCATCCCCCTCTTCTCTCTGCGTGTGGTGTGTGTTTTGGGAGTTTAGCGAGAAAGAGAGAGACAAGAGACCCAAAAATTCGTACTTGACAATGCCGTACTATAGTGTTACCTAGGGTTCCTTGCTCCCTCCAGGTTGTGACGTGACGAGGGAGAGGATTTCGGTGGCGATGGCACTGGCGTTTCTTCTTCTCGCCCTGGCGCTGCTCGGCATATCGATCGTCACGCGAGGTGAGAGCTCTTGGAAGTAGCTGCATTCTCTCATCTCTTGTTCTTAGGCAATGGCGCGCTAGAATCGGTGCCCGACCTGGAGAGAGCTATGTACAGAGTCATACAAGGCTCACCGTGTGTGCGTTTGTTGAGCATGCAGGGCGAATCCGGCTGTGCCAGTGAGGTTTTTTGCGAGCTCTTTTGTTCTTGTCACCAATCTGGCTGTGCTTTGAAGATCCGGGAAGAGATAAAATCGTTGCTCCATTACAGCGGCTCACGAAGCTCGAGTTCAAAACCAAAGGAGCAGTGGCGGTGCTCTTGCCATACTCTCTCTTTCACTCGTTTCTAGACAAGTAAGTAGAGATGCTCGTACTTGAACATCCATATGATGCGGAAGGAGAAATAAGTTTCTTTCTGTTTGTTCTAGGACGTTACACGATCCTTCTTTTGCAGCGCAAGTAGCAGGTGCTTTAGTAGAGTTTGCGGACAATGCGAATCGGAGTGTGAACTCAAACCCCGGTACTCTCAAATCGGAGTGTCAAATTCTCTACTCTTCTATGCTTGTTCTTACGCTTTCTTTCTTTTTCTTTTTTCTTACAAACTAGACTCAAAGTTCCCGCTGGCAGAATTCGCTCCTTACAGTAACAAGACATACCAATGGAATCCATTGGTAAGTTTGCTATGAAACCACGCGACTGCAAATATCTCACTCTTCTGTTTTAGGGGACAGATGTTCTCCAAAAACGTTACAACTTTCCAGTATATCTTCTTTCCCCAGAAAGCACCAGAGGTTTACGAGAGGTACGTTTTTAACGGAAATTTTTTGAACGACAACTACATTACGAGGTTCATGGTGCTGATTTAGATTGCAGCCGAGAACGAAGCAAGGAATGCCAAATACCCCCTCCAAGTGGCTGAATTCGATGTGGTCATGCAGGTATGCCATAATCACTCACGGATGTTGCTTACAGTACATGAGACATTCAGACCACCAAATCGGGAACGCACACGTCGGAGTCATGTCTAAAAGAAGGTTCTTGTTTGCCTCTTGGAGGGTACAGGTATCGTGTGCTTCAATTGTTTGCCGTCAAGCATCTGTTTGGTGATTTATCTGCAGCATCTTGTCGTCATTCTCTTCAATAACCTCGAAGCCAACTCTACTCGTATTGGCGGCCATGGACTCCATTTCTTTCTTTCGGGACTTCACACCAGGAGCCGATTCTCCTCTTTCTGTGCGTTTCCTTTTCTCTGGTTTCTCATTTCCTGACACTGTTGTTTGCAGGGCTTGATCTCTCTTCTTGCGGCTGTCGATGCTCTGTCAAAGGCCGACGGGATTCACAATGCCACCAAACAGGTGATAAGTTTTTTACGAGATTCGTTTTTGTTTTCTATCTTCTGCTCCGTAATAGGTGGTTTTTCTAGTATGTAATGGTGAGGCCTGGGGCTATCTTGGCAGTCGGAGATTTCTCTTTGAGCTTGAATATGGAGGGGGCTCAGCTTTCGGTTTCAACATGTCACATATTGATCAGGTCCATTTTTTTTTTCTGGTTCGTGGCAAAAGATTAGTTTATTTATTTAAACAGATTTTAGAGATCGGATCTGTGGGGCAAGCGGTGGAGAAAACATTTTACGGCCACGTTCAAGATAAGCACGTAGGTCCGCACTCAACTTCTCCTGCTTCTTTGATCTTATCCAGTAAAATTTACAGGCCTCTGCTTCGACCAAGGAGATTGTAGCTAGTCTTAAACGCTCGGCTGAAAGTGTTAACGCTCAAATCACAACTGCAAGCAGTGAAAACCCCGGGATACCTCCCTCGTCTATGATGTCATTTGTACAGAAGGTGGGCCAATTGCTTGTTTGTGCCAGCGTCTAAACAATGTTCTCCAGAGTGACTCCCTCACTGGAGTGCTTCTCGAGGAGTTCGATACTAGCTTCAAGAACAAGTTTTATCATAGTCTTTTTGATAATGCTGGTGAGTATAATGGAGCTGTACATTTAATTGTGATCGTCAACAACCTGTGTTGTCCCTCTGCAGACAATTTGAATCCCGAGTCTATTGTAGCTGCATCCTCCATCGTGGCTCGAGCTATATATCAGCTCGCGATGGGTGATAGCTCCGCTAAACTTGACTCCGTTGCTGTCAACAGTTCGCTGGTCAAGGATCTCATCAGCTGCCTTTTGACGCCAGATCCAGGAATGAATTGTCCGCTGGTGACGGGCTTTATCACGCCAGCTCAACCGGTTTCAAACCACTACGTGGGTGTTGTCACCGGAGCTCCATCTCCTACGCCTTCCGATGATCTTCTTGACGACACCACCAGATTCATCTGGAACTTTTTAGCTGATCGCACAAGGAGGCTCGACGCCGGTGAGTGTTCGAAGGACTGTAAGGGGCAGGACCAAGTCTGCGTTGGTGCGACTGGACAAGGCAGAGGTTCCTGCGTGGTCTCTACAACCAGGTCAAGTTTCTCCCGCTAAATCTATTTTGCCAAACTCGGAACTTCAAACTTGCAGGTACGTACCGGCATACTCGACTCGTTTGCGCTACAAATCTGGCAACTGGGAGCTCCTTCCCGTGGGAAGCGGCGACTTTATGGACAGCATCGATCCTGTGTGGACGGAGAGCTTTTGGAAGAGCTTGACACTGCGAGTGTACCAGCAAGAGAGGCCCTCCCTCAATGGAATGCTCCTGCTGGCTGGCTGCAGCGTTACTGTAGCGTCGGCAGTCTCCATTTTGGCAACTCGGGCGCTCTTCCGGAAGCGACTCAAGAGCGCATGAGCTGTACGTGAGCCGAGAAGGTCAAAGCTCTCCGTCCGTGGTTTAGTCCAGTGAGCTAAGCAAATTTCCTTCGTTTCCGCTGACTGACGAAGCGTGAGAGAGGTCTTTCTCGTCCCAGGTATTATGAGCAGTAGCAGCAGCAGCATCAGCGGCAGCAGCAGGAGCAGCAGCAGCAGCAGCGATGAGACGGTGGTGCCGCTGCTGAGCGGCGGCGCTGGAGCTCGTCTTTACAGCTGCGCGAATTGCCGCTCCAACGTTGCGGATCACAGCGACGTCATCTCCACTGCCTTCCAGGTTCGCTTCTACAGCTCTTCGCTTGGAGAATTGGGATTTCTCTCCATCTCACGCTCCACTGTTCCGGCAGGGACGAAATGGCCGAGCATACCTACTGGGGGGCGTGGATAATGTGGTGGTCGGCCCAAGAGAGGACAGGCACCTCATGACTGGATTGCATGCGGTGGCGGATATCTCCTGCGCACACTGCCACGAACTGCTGGGATGGAAATACGAGCGGGCCTACGAGCACTCGCAAAAATACAAGGAAGGCAAGTTCGTGCTGGAAAGATCAAAGATCATGAAGGACTGCTGGTAGAATATTTTAAATCATACACTGTCAATTACGAGAGATACCACCGCAATAAATCGAAACCGATCTTCCTCAGCTCCTCCTGCTGTTTGATTCCGAGAGACGAACCGGGTAAAAGTACGCGTGCGCCTGGAAACAAAACCAAAAGACGAAGGTTACTACTCCACGAAACCAAATCATCACTCACCATAGCCTCTCTGGCGGTCAGTCGCTCTTGGTGATCGTATCGTAGCAGCTTGTCGAGAAAATCCAGAGCCTGCTTGCGTACACAAAACACTCAATCGTCACGCTCACCGACTGGAACACTCGCTCACCTCAGGATTCACCAGGTGTTGGTTGTCGTTGTTTATGAACTTCGACCAGGGTTTTCTGCTGTGTCTGCGAGGATAGCACGTTAGGATAAACATGACAAATTTGGTAGGGAAAGAAAGAGAACAGACCTGCCGACCATGCTTTCGAAGTGAGCATCAAGCTCCAGGTGGTATTTGTTCAGATACGCATTCAGCTCGTCTGTCCCCAACACCTAAACACCACAAGCCAACGTCAAAAACAGCAACAAACAGACATTCTGGGTTTAAAACCTTGGCAATCTTCACCAGCTGATCGTGATTGTCATGGCCATAAAAGAATGGTTCTTTGCGAAATATCTGTGAAGCTTGGGGCGTTAGCAAGTACGAATGATCAGACAAAAGACTCACCATTCCAGCGAACATGCAGCCTAGGCTCCACATGTCGAGAGAGTAATCGTAGTCCTGCAGGTCCACAAGCAGCTCCGGACCTTTGAAGTATCTGACGTGAGAAGCAACAGCACACAAATGATTGGAATTGAGATCACATTCAAGCAACGCCTTTTCCACACCTTGAAGCAACGCGAACGTTGTACTCCTTTCCGGGGTGGTAGAATTCTGCCAGGCCCCAGTCGATGAGGCGCAGCTTGCGCTGCTCGTGATCAATCATCACATTGTGCGGCTTCACGTCCCTGTGCATAATTCCTTGCGAGTGGCAGTGATCGAGTGCCTGCAAAAACAAGCAACATCAAAATCCTCCCAAGTCCAATCCACATGGGGTTAAAAAACCTCACCTTGAGAAGCTCATACAGGTAGTAGCGAATATCGTAGTCCGTCAGCGTCGGGTACAAGGTCTTGAAGTCCGTGTTATTGACATACTCAAAGATTAAGCTGGGCGTCTTCGATTGTTGGTCCCGGACGATATCCAAAAGCTTGACAATATTTGGCCCACCACAGAGATTTTGGAGAATTTTGATCTCACGCTTTATCTGCAAGAGAAGGAGATAAAAGAATCTAGCCATAGCCAGCACAACAGGCTAGAGCTCAGTGGCAGTACCTTTTTCTTCTTCACGGGCTTGAGGATTTTTATGATACAATGCTCGTTGTTCACGCAATTGATGCCCTCAAACACCTCGCTGTACTTGCCTCGACCCACCTTTCGTACAACCTCATATTCTTCTTGGTCACTGCCACCCAAACAAGAAGAAGAGATCTAGATCCAACAAAAAAACGAAACAAAAGCCTCACCCCCACTCCACCGAGAGAGACTCGTAGTCCCAGTACTCCTTTGGGCGCAGCACGTTCACATCGGCGTATATCCGGGCCTTGGACATGGCGCCGGGGCCACGGATCGACTTGCCAATCTTCTGCGCCAGGGTTGCTACCGCCGACAACGAACCTCTTGACGATGCCGCTGCTACTGGCGCCGCCGCGGATCCAATGCCGCTTCTCCGGGCCAAGACGATGGCGGCGGCAGCGGCGGAGGAGACGCAGGAGGCGGCGGCGAATCGAAAGGCGCTGGCGCTGGAGCTGGACAAGCTACAAAACCCTAGGCGCGCTGAAAACATCCGACCACTAAAACCCTGATTGGAAGAGAGGATGAACTGGGGCGGAGACCTTCCGTACGGCCGTACCGCTCTAGATGCCCGTCTTGCCCGAGCGGCTCGAGGCGATTGCTCGATCGCTCCGGAGCTGCGGGGGCGCGCGCGATGTGGCCGAGGGCAAGCGGATCCACGCCGCCATCGTCGACGATGGCCTCGCGCGCAATCGCTACCTCGCCAATCACCTCGTCGGGATGTACGCCAAGTGCGGGAGCCTGGATCTCGCGCAGCGCGTCTTCGACTCGATCGAGCAGCCGGACGTCTTCTCCTGGAACGTCCTCATCACCGCCGTCGCGCGGCTGCACAGCGACGGCATCCGCGCCGCCGCCCACCTCTTCTTCGGCGACAGGATGACGAACAGGAACGTTGTGTCGTGGAATTCCATGCTCACCGCAAATGCCCAAACTGGGCAAATCTACCCCACGCTGGAGTTCTTCCACCGGATGCCGCAGTGGGACGTGGTCTCCTGGAACACCATCGTCGTCACTTTCTCCGAGGCTGATCTAGTCGACGAATCCAAGCGGATGTTCGATCGAATGCCCGCGCGCGACGAGGTGAGCTGGAACGGGATGCTCCAGTGCTATGCCCGGATAGGGCATCTGGAGATGGCAGCGCGGGTATTTGCCGTGATGCCGCACGTAAGCGTCATCGCGTCCACCGCCATGGCGCACGCCTATGCATCGCAGGGCGATTTGGATCGCGCCCAAGCCGTGTTCCACGACATGCCCGACAAGAGCGTGGTGTCATGGACGATGATGATCCACGCGCTGGCCGTCCGGGGCGAGCTCTACCGCGCTCTCGCCCTCTTCCACGACATGCCGCACAGGAACATCGTCTCCTGGGCGACCATGGTCCAGGCGATGGTGGACAGCGGCTACACCACCCAGGCTCTGGCGTGCTTCGCGCGGATGCCGCAGCTCAATGTGGTGGCGTGCACCGCGGTGATCGCCGCTCACGCCCAGCACGGCGACATCCACAGCGCCAAGCAGCTCTTCGATTCCCTGCCCGAGAGGGATGGCGTGGCGGTAGTCACCATGCTCGCCTCCTTCTCCCTCCATGGCTATGTCGACCAGGCAAAGGAGATGTTCGATGGCATGGCGAAGAGAAACATCATTGCCTGGACTGCCATGCTCGCCGCCAGCTCCCGCCGCGGCGATCCGCGCCAGGCCGAGCTCGTCTTTCATGTCATGCCGCAGTGGAACATGATCTCCTGGAACGCGCTCGTCGCCGCCTTCGCGCACAACGGCCATCTCGACGCCGCCAAGGCCATGTTTGACAAGCTCCCCGATCGAAACCTCATGTCGTGGAACGCCATGATCGCCGCCTACTCGCAGTATGGACGCTGCCGCGACGCGCTGCTCTTCTTCCGCTGCATGAACTGCGACGGCGGCGGCCAGCCCAACGCCATCACCTTCAGCAGCGTCTTGACGGCGTGCAGCCATGCCGGGCTCCTCCGCGAGAGCTGGCGGCACTTCACGTCCATGGTGGGCGACTTTGGGATCCAGCCGGTGAGGGAGCACTACTGCTGCATCGTGGACGTGCTCGGGCGATCCGGGGAGCTCAGCGATGCCGAGGACTTGATCCATAACATGCCGTTTCTCCCCACCGACATCACCTGGAGGACGTTCCTCAGCGCGTGCCGGACTCACCGCCAGGCCAGCGACGTCAAGGTGGCGGCCGAGAACATCGTGGAGATCGATCCCAGCAACGACGCCGCCTATCTCACGCTCGCAAACAGCTATGCCGCTGGTGCTACCGCTACCACTTCCACGGAAGAACCCGAAGAACAAGACGAGGAAACCAACTTAGATACTCGATTGAAACCAAAGAAGAATACAGACAACACGATTCATCTCCATGGCTAGCATGGAAGCTAGCCACAAATCTCTCCGAGAAGCTTGCGAGCAAGCTTATTCATCGCGCTGGTTTCACGCGTTGGTCTTGTTGTGGAGGTAGCCACTGACGTTGGATCCAACCTCGCGGGCCTTCTCGGTGACTTGCGACGCCGTGTCCACAATGCGGTTCTTGGCAGCGTCCACCTGGTTAGCACCCACGGGGCGGCGTCCCTTGACATACTTGTACAGCCACGCCACCATCGCCACCACCGCGAGGAAGGAGACGAGACACCCAAGCACGACTGCGGCGGCGATGGCCAGCGGCACCAGCACCGGGCTAAACAAGATGAGCAGCGGCGATGCCACCAAGAGCGCCACCATGGTTCCTCCCACCGCCGTCGTCCCCGCCACCATCACCGTCACGATCCCAGCAAGAACTCCGCCGATTCGAAGCACGCGGCTCGACTCGGGAGACTTCTGCTTCAAGCGCTGAGCCACATTGGTGTTGGACGCTCCATCGATCATCCTGCTCGCCATGGCCGACTCGAAAAGCCAATCACCCACGATCGATCGAACCGACGGAAGAAACTCCTCCCTCCCAAACTTCAAACTCTCGGACGAAGGAGAGAGACGAAGACTAACACCACGATCGCTGATTGATTGCCGACTCTCTTTTTATAAAGCCAGGTCGAGCGCCACGTGGTAGAAGACTGCCAGGCTGGAGATTCCCCTGCGTGGCAGATCCCCTGATACTTCCAGATTCTCCCAAATTCAAAGAGATTCTTTACTCTCTTCTTTACTTGGCGCCACCGTCCGAGTAAATGTTGGAGAGGAGCATGGCGTGCGAGTGTGATTCCTCCACCACTCTCGGAGCTGCGCGCTTGGCCACAGCCAAATCGGCATGAATTCGGCAAGCGCCCAACAAAATCCGCCAAGGCGCTTGATCATCCATCGCAGCGGCCAAGCTCTCCGCGTCTTTCAATCGCCCAGCTCGTCCCAGCAGATCGACCACGCAATCGTAGTGCTCGCAGCTCGCCTGGATCCCATACTCGCCACCCGCCAGGCGAAAGCAGCAGCGCCCAGCGTCGATCAAGCCGCCGTGGTTGCATCCATGGAGGATCGTTGTCACGGTTGCCTGGTCCGCGCAAAAGCCTTCCATGCTCATCCGGCGGAGCCACCACACCGCTTGCTCGCCTCGTCCGTGGCGAGCAAGCCCCGCGACGAGCGTCGTCCACGTCTGGACGTTCCGCTCCAGCATTCCATCGAAGACGAGCTTGGCAGCGTCGATGTTTCCACACTTGGCAAACATATCAATCAGGGACGTGCCAAGGACAGCATCTCGCTCGAATCCCAGGCACGCCAGCATTTGCGAGTGGACTCGCCGGCCCTCCTCGGCAGCTCCCAGCTCCGCGCACACTCCAAGAATCGTGGAAAACGTAAACTTGTCCGGCAACACCTCACTCTCCAAGATCATCTCCTCGTAGAGCTGCAAAGCTCGCCAGTTCTTTCCCTGTTGCGCGTAGCCGGTCATGAGCGAGCTCCACGCCACCACGCTTTTCTCACGGATCTTCTCGAAAGCTGTCCACGCCTCGTCCAGTCTCCCGGACCTCGAGTACATGGCGATCAATGCTGCACCCACAGCGTTCTCCCGATCCAGCCCGGCGTCGCGAGCGAAAGAATGGAGTGACTTGCCTCGATCGACGTGGTTTGTGCACACTCCAAGCGCGGCAGCAAAAGTCACGCCATCCGCCTTGGTGCCTTCGAGCGCCATCTCTCCAAAAAGCTCGAGCACGTCGGCAGCAGCACTTGAATCAGCCTGCGCAATCGAGGCGATGACAAAGTTCCAAGCCGCTCCGCTCGCCACACAGGTCTCCTTGAGCGCCACCTTTGCCTCCTCGGGGCTCCCACACCGGATAAACATGTTGACGATCCCGCGTCCAAGCTCCGCCGAGTTTGCTGCCAGCTTTCTCGACTTGATCCGCGAGTAGAGAGCTCTCCCCTGCTCTAGCGCACCAACTATCGAGCAAGCCTCCGCCACGGCCGTGAAGGTGCATACGTTTGGTTGCAATGACGACAATGATCTCCTCGCGGACTCCTCCATGAGCTCGTAGATGGCGATGGCCTCCCTGCTTTCGTCGTTGTGGACGTAAGATGCGATCAAGCATGTCCAGCTGATCACGTCCCTCTCGACCATCTCGTCAAAAACCATCTTTGCATCTCGCAAGCTCCCGCATTTCCCATAGCAATCCATGAGAGCGTTTTGCACGGCGAGCATTGCCTGGAAGCCACTCGCCTGGATCCTTGCGTGGAACTCTCTACACTCGCGGACACTAGAGCAGGCCGAGAGAATGGTGGTGAGGGTGAATTGGTCGGGTTTGGTGCCTTCGTTGTCCATTCTCCACAAGAGCTGCAGAGCTTGATCTTTCTCTCCACCCCGAATCGCTCCTGAGATGACAGCATTCCACGAAACGATGCTCCTGGAAGCCATACCATCAAAGACCGCCTTGGCATCAATCCAGCAGCCGTCGCAGCGAGAGAACATTGCGACCATGGCAGTCGCTACAAACTCATCGCTCCCAAATCCAGCGCCAACGATCCGGGAATGAATGGCGCGCGCCTGCAACGGATCCTCGAGGCCGGAGCAGGCCGCGACAACGCTGCTGAGAGTGAAGGAATTGGGCTGCATGCCTTCCAAATCCATGGCCTGGAAGAGTTGCAATGCCTCTCGAAAATGCCCGTTCTGGGCATATGCCGAGATGATGATGCTCCAGCTGAAAACATTCTTGCGCCATCCCAAAGCATCAAAAACCTGCCGCGCTTCCACCACGCTCCGGCATTTCCCATACATCTCCACCACCAAATTCTCCAGCAGTATCACGCCGCCGGCATCGACATCGGCCCCGCCAAGCTCTTGCAGGATTTGCGCATGAACCATCCTGCCCTCCGCCAGCGCCCTGCGGTCCGAGCATTCTCGCAGCCGAGACGTGTAGTGACTGACGCAGCTCGATCGTGCTGCTGCTGCCATCGCCTCCAATCATCTCTCCAAATCTGGATAACAATAAACTTGGTCTCAAAAGGAAGGCCTTATATCGTTCCGGAAGACTGGTCGTCGCCAAGAACCGTAAAACACGCCTGTCAACGGTCAAAGACATCAAAGTGTATGGCAATCTCTTTGGTGGTTCTTCTGATAACATTTTGTATGAATTTGTCTGAATTTTATGTTTGACTACTAAAACGTAATTTAAAAAATTATTACTTGAACAAAATACAAAATGTCTATGAACAAGGTATCCATGTCTTAGCTTGAAGTTCAAGAGCTTGCTGAGGGTGGTGGTCGCCAGCAAGAATTCTCCAAGCCAGACATTCTGTTCAGGAACTCCTATAATATACGCTAAAGGGAGTAGAGCATTCTTTTCCAGTAGCGCTGAATCATCGATCCAGCTCTCTCGACAAGGCACACATATGTTGATCAAGCTTTAAACGCCACCCCAGAACGCTCGGCAACTTATCACTCCACCCCCCAAAGCTTCTTTCCCTCGTCGACAACCGCCGGCAGTTCTAAACTCTGGCAAGGTCTGCTGGCGAAACAATTCCGTAGGGTTCTTGCGCTGGAGAGGTAGGGCTCCTAGAGGCGAAGAAGAATGAGGGATTCTCAACGAATGGCACTGAAACGCAGTGACCGCGTCCGAATCAATGTTGGCGGCACCCCATTCATCACCAGCAGCACTACAATTGCCAATGCCGGCGCCGATTCGATGCTGTGCAGCCTCCTGAACGAGAATTGGGAGCCCGCCACAAGAGATCCACAGCGACACGAGCAGGACGAGATCTTCATCGACCGGGATCCGGCACTCTTCGCCGTGCTGCTCGATCTCCTGCGAACAGGGGAGCTCCGTACACCGCACGGCATACCGCACGGTACGCTCGTCCGCGAGGCGGTCTTCTACGGCATTGACCGCCACGTCAAGGCCGCGTCGTGGGGCAGCCCGCTCGACGGCAACCGCGTCCGGTGCCGCGCGTCGGTACGGGGCCGTGCAACCACGGACGCCGTGGCGATCCGCGCGTCACCTGGCGGTGGCTGCGGCGTGGCGCACGGACCCATGATCCATGTCTACGACTGGTCTCTCGAGGAGCTCCCTCCAGTGACGCTAGATTTCATGAGCGTCAACGATTTCGGCTTCCTCCCCAGGAATCCCTTGCGGATGGTGGTGTGCGCGGCGGACAGGGGCGACATCGGGGGCCTGGGCTGCGTGAATGCCGCCACTGGCAAGCTGATCCAGCGGATGAAGCTGGAGCTGGACGATTCTAGCCGGAGTTTCATGGCGCTGGCGTGCGCCAGCAGCGATTGCGAGGTGTTTGCCAGCAGCAGGATGCGTGGCGTGGGGATCTGGGACCAGGAATCCGGCAGGAATGTAGGGTTCGTGACGTCGGGAGAGGGCGGCGGTGGATCCAAGCTCCAGTGGCTGCCATCCAGCAATCTCCTGCTGGTGGCGTCCATGTTTCCTCACAGCGATCACTGCTTCCTCACGCTGCTGGATCGCCGGCAGAGGACCAAGGCGTGGGAGTGGAGCGATTGCGAGATGCGAAGCCAGCCCCTCATCATGGACGCGGTGGCGATCCAGAACAGGAACATGATTTGCGTGGTGGATCAATCGGACGAGCTGGGCTTCATCGATACGAGGATGGGCGGTGGTGGCGGGGGTGGTAGCGGCGCCGCTTTCGCCCCGGCGTGCTGGAGCCACATGTTCCAGCGGATCAAGCGGTCCGAGATGGAAGAGCATCTGTATTCCAAGCTCCGGATCAACGCCAGCGATCCCAGCTCAGAGAATTTGCAGCTCTTTTCGACACGGGAGGAGGCGGTGCTGGTGCATTCGTGCTCGGCGGTAGCGCTGTCGTCCGCCGCCTCCGCGAGCTGCTCGCTGCTGCCCGCCACCGCCAGGCTCAGTGTCAGTGGCGGAGGAGGAGGCGGCGGCAGTGGCGGCATCGCGGACATTGATGTTGGTGGCGACAGATTGTTTGTGCTCCACAGCGACGAGAATTTGTTCGATGTGTGGGAGAGCCCTCCGTTGCTCTCCTCCTCCTCGTCCAAAATTCTTCTCTAGCATTGCTCTATTCACAGAAGATAACTCCACCCATTCGCGTTGGAGTGTTAGAATGACTTCTCGTCGTCAGGATCAATACCCTCGATGAGAAGCTCCCCGAAAAGCTCCGAATGCCCGCTTTGGGCATGGGCAGCAAGCATCGCATTCCAGGAAGCTAGCCAACTTTCTGGAGTCATTCCTCGAGCATCGGTAAGATGCCCTTTTCGAGCCACGGCGTGATAGAGTCGAAATAGCCTCTGGCAAATGCCCTTGCGTGGCATATATTCGATGAGATTATCCTCAAGAGTTCTTCTGGCATCAACTGGATTCTCTGATGCGAATGTGGATGCGGAAAGCAGCGTCTGAGTGACGCTCTTTCATATAATCAAAGAGGGATTTTGCCTTTCTCACCTTGTGGTAGGCCCTGCTTCTGGCACTCCATGGGGAAATGGAGGAGATTCGGGCGATACAAGACATGGAAGTTGGGCTTACAGAAGCTTCTCACTGTGATTGATGACTGGCAATCCGAAGACACTGATACAGAGCACACAAAAGATGAAAGATGGATACATGACAAGAAGGTATGAAAGGAACTTGTTTGTTTTCTTCTAAAACACGGTTTGAAACTGCGATTGTTCAAGGACAGGTTTGTGGTGGACGGACCATCAACGGGCAGAGCTTGCGACGTGGATGGGAATGTCGACACTGCCCAAAGCTGTGACCGGCTGGAAGCAGTACAAGGGAATAAAGCGGAATATAGGACGAGCATTGCTGCAACAAGCTCTGGAGTGAGTTTCTCACGGAGAAGCTGCGGAGAATGAGCCGCCCCCTGATCTTCAACGGGGACGTTATAGTGACGATAAAGGAAGGTACCGTCTTCTCTCTCCGTATTTGGAGGGAGGCAAGAAATCTATGGGATCAGCGTTGGAAGGAGGTTGTAGACAATCTCAGACACATCAACGTCTTTCTTTATGAGTCAACGATGACTGCATGGCTCACAGCTTAACTTGGCACGCATCGTGGAGGGTCTTGTGAGACCTGATGAAACGGGTGTTTGAGCTAGATTCAAAGGCTGAACCTGAACGTCAAGCTATTTCTGAAGTGATGGACTCTTACTTTGAGGGGACGAGGAATTCCAAGCCGCTCCTGAATTCTTCCTTGGCTCCTCTTCAGTGGGAGCTGTGAGCGGGTCGTCATCTTCGGTGGAGCTCTCCCGGTGTCTCCCCTCGTTCCCCCACCGGTGATTCAGCCTCCAGCTCGACCTGAACCAAGGAATCTCGTCGCTTCTTTTTCTCACTTGGACAAACATGCAGAAAAGCAGTTTCCAGTAAATAGTTCTCGCCCGTGGATTCTTAGCTCTGAGAACCGGAGAAACTATTTCCGACACGTTGTTGAGAAGCGAGACTCGATGCGTTTTTAAACGGTCCAAGTCTTCTTTGGCTTTGTGACTCGAGAAACGTCCTTTCGTCAATGTTGGATCGGCAAGCCAAGGATCATTGATGACAGAGCCGCTCGGGCTCGTAGTTTCACGAGGAAAAAGAAAAAATCTGAGTCAATACAAACCAGAACCAGAACCGTGCAAGTCCTGTACTTGCTTCCTCAAACTTCATTCTCTCTTCTTTTTGTCAAGCTTCTTTCAGTCGAGCTTCTTCTTCTTTCCTTTCTAACTCCTCAGCTTCAGCCAGCCAGAACTAGTAATCTCCTGTCTTTTTGGAAAGTGGTCCTGCTCCTCATAATCGTCTGAACGAGTTATTTTCCCTGTGGACGTTTTCTCAGCTACCATGCTGTGAGCGCTGCATCGGCGGGGCCCAAGCCCTTGATTTTTGGCTATACTTTCTTACAAAATTCTGCTCTTATCCAGGACAACCACGAAGGCATCTTTTGACGAAGGATGGAGTGTGTTTGCAAGCCAGAAGAAGGTTGTGGCTGGCGATACCGTTCTTTTTGTCAGGTGAGCTACGCCACTGATTTTATCTGTTTTTCATACCGTAATAATATTACATAACACGTAGGGGAGATCATGGTGAGTTGAGAATGGGAGTGCACGCAGGGCAGTGTCACTTCGTCTGCGCTACTGTCTAGCCACAGTATGCACATTGGAGTCCTGGCTGCTGCTGCTCATGCTGTATTCATTAACACCATGTTCACCGTGTTCTATAATCCTCGGTTTGACATTCTTTGGATTTAACACGGCAAAGTGGTGTTCTTCAGGGCTAGTCCAGCTGAATTTGTCGTTCCATCCCACAAGTACTGAAATCTTTCAAGATGAACATTTTGATTGGTATGCGCTTTCAAAATGAGATTTGAGACTGAGGATTCGTCGGAAAGAAGGTAAATCGTTTTGAAGTGATTCTCTTGTTTTGTCTACAGTACTCGGTAGTGTCAGATATATGGGAACTAGGCGCTCGATTGCCAGACTCTAACTGGCGCTTCCTAAGTTCCTAAAGGTAAAGAGTCTTGTCTTCAAGTGACGCATTTTTCAGCTTCTTCCTTTCTGATATAAGGTCGGTTGGACGAGCACGCGGCTAGTGAAAGACAGGAGAGGGTGTCACGAAAGCCATTTGTTGCTCCCCCGGTTTCGACGAAGAGATTCAGGCCAACAATGCTCACAGACATAAGTACATCTCGATGCACTTTTAATTCAATCAGGTGCCAGTCGAAAGTTATATGACAATCTTCTTCGCCAGATCCTACAGGCCAGCTGTAATTTGCAAACCTCTCACAAGTACGAAGCTGACGATTCTCCTGAAGTTTCCTACAGCTCTTTATTCCGAGGCTAAGATAACTCCAAGTGCTACTGAGGGTCATAGTGCTCCCGGTTTTCCTTCTGGATTGCCAAGCCCCACTACCATCTCGTAGTAAAGTCGATTTATGGCAGCTTACGCTTTGGGGTCAGCAGTTTCGAGAGCAGAAGGTTCCTCCACAATTCGAGAGACCGCAGCAG